TTTTTTGTTTTCATTTATTAGTGCTTTTATTTTTTCCCAAAACCAAATTTTGGGAGGGGGTTTAGTTGTTTTAAAGTTTTTATAAATGAAAAATAGTTCCTGTCACCCCGGGGTTTTTAAAGATTTTGGATAGCCAATTTGGGAAGTTTGATATTGGCCCATAGTTGTTTTAAAAACTGTGGGTCACCCCCTTTTTGTATTTGGGGTAACCTTGCCATCCCATAAATTTTGGGAAGGTGCTAGTTTCTAGTGACTTGTTTAAAAATTTAATTTAAATAGCATGCGAAAGGGTATGGGGACTCGCTTTCAGTAATGGTGGGGGCATTTGGGCAGATTTTTTAGATTTTTTTTAAAAATGACTTTTTAATCTCGGGGACTTCCCCAGGGCCCCAGTTGGTGCAAAATGAAGGAATTTGGGGAAATTCCATTTAAGTAGTCCCCGGCATGGGGATTGGGGATGGGGAAATTTATTGCGAAAATTAATCCCATGGGTTTAGAAGAATCGTTTAACTTTTTAGCTGTTTCAGTGGGGTGTAGCGGGGTTTTATTTGGTTTAGTTTGGGACAAAAATTCTTGTTTTTTTTTAGTTTGTGGGTCCCAAAAATTGGAGGAGTGTTTTCCAGGTCTTTTTTAATCTCCTCTAGTGTCTGTGAAACTACTGGGGTTTGTAAAAGTTTTTGGCTTTCCCCTTTTTTACTTTTGGGGAGAAAATGATGAATATTTTTTAAGAATATCTTTGTTATTAAGCCCTGTCTGTATTCTTTTCATATTGTTGTTTTTTTCAATGGATTTAGAATGGTTTCTGGTTAGCCAAGGGGAACCAAGCCGTTTGTTTGTGACCGTTTTTTTTTTTATAGGACAATGTTTGTTGTATAGTTAAAATAATTTTTTTAAAAAAAATGTCTGTCCATATTTAATACCATTGGCCCCTTTGGGGAAATTTTGTAGGCCATTTAAAAATCCTCTAGGTCAGTTTTGAACTTTTTTATTGAGGCCCCGTCTGGAGTTTTAAAAAAGAGACTTTTTTGTATTCAAGTGGGGGTTTTTCTAATTGGGTTTTCAGGGGGAAGGTGGGGGAGTGGACTGTGTGCTATCTGTGATTATCCCCGATTTTAAGGGGGGGGGGATATATTGGGCCATATGGGTCTATTATGGGTTGGGATTTTCCAGTTAGCCCGGTTGGTTTTTGTTTTTGTTGGTAGGGGAATGTGTTTTTCATATTTTTGATGAAATCCTTTTCAGGTGACATCAAATAAACCAAGGTTGGGTGTTTAAGTCCCAGCTAAGAGAAGGTGGGGGTTTTTCATTTTTTCTGTTTGGGTTTTTAGTGACTTTAATTTCTCCTGAAATTGGGGGTGTTTGTGTGAGGTAAACCAGTAAAGGAAAGATTGTTATAGGTGTTTTAAGGTTTTTTACATTAAAAAAGCAAAAAAGTAATTTTCCCCCTAAAATCACTTTTTGCAAGTGGGGTAAACAAAAATAACTGGGGTTTGGAAATAAAAAGGGTTTTCAATACCCCCCAACTTGGTTTGGGCTGCATTGTGGATTGGGTGTGGGACCCGGTTTAAAGGGGAGATATCTATTGGTCCTGCTTAACCCCGGTCTCAATAAGAATAATGCAGGGAGAGGGTGTCTTAGTGATTCAAGGAGTGCAGGAGGTCATCATAGTGTTTGCTTAAGGACCTGATGTTGTAGTTAAGTAATGATAGACTTTTAGGCATTGGTTTTAGGATAGTTGCAGGCTGTGATGTTGCTGTGATAATAAAGGGCAGGTTACTTTTCAAATAGGTTTTGATTGGGTGTCAGATTATGGAGGTTTAGATAGGGTGTCAACGGATGAATCATCTTCTAGGTTAATTTATGCGTTATTTATATTCTGAGTTATGTGTTGCGTTCTAGTCTGATATCTGTAGGCGTGGGGAAGGTTTGGATAAGTATATAGCTAGAGTAGTTTGGTTCATATAGAGTATAGTCATACTACACATAATGAAGTTGATGTTGTCTATGTGTTGGTGCTGGAATGAACTAAAGTACAAACTTGTATATAATAAACTAGTAATATAAAAATACAAATTTAAAATAGAACAAGACATCACTTGTAATTGCACTAAGGTCTAAGATAATGACTTTTGTGGAGTCTATGTTTTGAGCTAGAAATGTGCTTTTTGTACAACTAGATTTAATCAATAATATAAAAATACAAATTAAAAATAGCACCAGTCTCTCACTAGTAATTGACTATGGTCTAATATAATGATTTTGTATTTGACTATAGTACAACTGGTTTATCCTAATAATATAAAAAATGCACAAGGATCTCAATTGTAATTGCACTAAGGTTCTTATATAAGTTGTTTACAAGAATTAGAGTATAACTGATTTAAATTGACAGGATTAAATACACAAGTTTAAGGTAGAACTAAAGATTATTATTAAAAAAAAATGATAAAAATAAAAATGGCAATGACTTGGTTATAATATGCTTAGTAAGATGGTAGACAGGATAATATAAAAAAGTTGTAGTTGAAAATACTAGTTTAAAAAGTTATAGATAAAATGGTCAATAATAGCAGTTTACATTAAGTTTGATCAATATATGTTTAAAGTAAAATTGGGGGGGCAATGATAGGGATTTTAGTTAAAATTGGGCAATTTGAAGTATTTCTTATAAGTGAGGTAGTATTATTGACGGACAAAGTTATGCTAGTTTATATAAAATAAGATGGAACAGTGATGCGGTAAGTTGTAAAAAACGGGGATAGATTCTGTTAGTATTAAACAAAATAAGACTATGAGGAGAATGGTCAGTGAATACAACAATGACATCAAAAGTAGTTGGTGGTATTAGAAATTTAGGGGCACAAATTTATGACAATATAACACTAAACTGTTGGTCTGTGTGGTATTATTGCACTTACTCTGTTTCTCGTTAGTCCAGCCTCACTTAGGAATGTTTTTAAGGTCATGTTCTGTGGTGATGAAGTATCTCTTCCCAGTGGGTTGTTATCCTAACTGCGATTTTTCCATCCCTCCACAAAGCAATGGCGGATTTTTTGGGCATAGCGTAAATTTTCTTAGCGATAAAGAAGGTTTTGTTTTATTTTGGTAAGGCATCATTGACGTAAACATCAGTTTTCCATAGAAATTAGATGTTTTTAGAGAGGTTGTTTCTTTGTAGGCTAGTTTTGGAATTTTAACTCGCACTGTTTTTTTTTACCTGACTTGTAGCCCATCAGTTTGCTTTCCTAGGTCATCACTACGTAATGTTAAGGTAAGGTGGTCCTTGATAAGCTGCAGGGTCGTCTCCATGAGGTTCTTGGGTGACTGTGGGGTGGGGAGATGTTTGCTGTTAACTACAACAGCGTTCAGATAGTGCTGTTGGTCATTATGGTCTTGGAAGTTGGTTATGACATTTGCAAAGTTGTTGGTCCACTCTTGTTCCTTTCCTCTGTAATGTTGTAAGTAAGTAGGGTGACTTGGTCTTTTAGAGTGTTGATGATTGGTGTCTAGGGATGGGTGTGGTGTTGCTTCTGTTGTTCCAGGAGTGTTCTAGTTATGTTCAAGAGCAGTGATCTTGTTGAGGTAATCTGCATGCTAGCTTTTAGTTCCTGCATTTCTTGATTTAGTTTGGTGATCGTTTGGTTTGATCGTAAGGAGTTTAGCTTTTTCTGGGTCGGTGTCTTCTTTGACATCAAATACTGGGAAGGAGTTATCTTGGACTGTGACGCGGGCCATGTTTGTTGTTGTCTGTCGTGTGTGTGGGTGGTGCAGGTGGGTGATGAGGGTTGTGTCCTGGCTAGCAGTACCACCAAGTTTTTCCCTTCTTGTTATTACTTGCTCTCACCTTTGATGTTAGAGTCCTTAGCTGGTTACTGGATCTTTTTTTATTGCTCTGACCCTTGTCCATTGGCTGTGGCTTCAGGGTGAATAATAGTGATGGGTGGTTTGTTGTGGAGAGTATCAATTCAGTGGCAGCGGTGGGGTAGGAGGTGGTAGTACGAGTACTATTTGTTGGTAATTTGTGAACTTTTGGGTGATTTCTGCAGTTGATTTATATCATTCTGGGTATCCACACATGTTAGTGTTATGTGGGTCTTGATTAGGTCATCACTGGGCTGCTGGGAACCTCAGGTAGAAGTAAAAATAGATACAAGGTTCCTGTTGCCACTGCCGCTGCCGCTGGGGGACAGTGAAGTCTGCCGGATTAGCGAGTTTGCCGGATTACAGAGTGGTTAGGTTAGAATACACTTAAGTAACCTATCAATAGAGGCTCTTTCTGCTACATCTTTCTCATTTTCATCACTGCTTTCTCCTCCACTGGCTTGCTGCTGTGGATTTACAACCATCTGCACAATTTCTGAGTCAGTATAATGATGAAATTTGAAATTATGCTAGCTGAAATTAGCGCAGCACAGATTACTGATGGAACCGGATAACTGATTGCCAGATTAGTGCTGGCCGACCTGTATGTACTAATGGATTTATTTTTTCAACAAACTGGACGTATTCCACTGAGGTAGGGTGACCTAAAAAGAAAAACGAAAGTTTCTCGTTTTAAATTTAGTAATGTATACTGGAGAAGGGGTTACTAACCCCTTGCTCCTGGCATGTTAGTCACCTCTTACGGCATGCATGGTTTACGGAGGAATAATTCTGTTTCACTTCCCCATGGAGACCAATGGAATTGTAGGTATAAAATTATAAAGACTAGTTTTAAAATATTTTTTTATATATGTATCTAAACTCATTATTTGCTGTACATATTAATTATGACTGCATTTCATTTACTGCAGATGAATATTGGTATATATGTGTTCGTGAACCATGTTTGTCATAAAAGGTGAACTAAAATACCAGGAGCAAGAGGCTAGTAACCCTTCTCCTGTATAAATTATGAAATGTAAAAAGAAGATAAACTTTAGTTTTCTTTGTTTTGGGTCACCCTGCCTCAGTGTTGCAAGAAAAAAAATGTTCATAAACTTTGATTTTCTTACTTTCAGAGAGTGATGGTTCTCAGAGCAGAATGAGTGATGAGTTACCCCACACTGAGGAACTTCTCAGTAAGTATTATAGAACCCACCAGCAGAGCTCTGGCTGTGCACTTATGCCAGTACTGTACTATGTTGCAGGACATTATTATTTTGTTTACAATACTTAGTATACTGGACTGTTAGAGCATACATTTATTAACTTTGCTTCAGAATAATTTAAAGAAGTTTTAAATTAATAGCAAGTCTTCGTTCTGGCTTATTCAGTTTTAAAATTACTGCACCACAGTACTGTGCAAATTTATTCATATGAAAAGCATAAGCAAAAACCTCAAAGCTTGGTGTTGACATTGTTGTATTGTAGTTTGAAACCACTACTTGGCCAATTTTATCCATTATTTATAGTTTGAATTGTAAACTATTATGTTGGGTCTGCACTTCAGATAGCATTTTGTTATGCAAATGGTAAAAAACATAGCCAAACAAAACCAAATGAAATCCATCAAACCTATCCTTTAGTAATCTAATGTAACTTAACCTAATCTCTGCTACTGGTGTGGTGTATCTAGGTTCACTTTCAGCCAATGTGAGACACATCGCAGTCCTAAGCAGGGATTGGCTCGCACGTGCTATGCAGTCAAAATTAATGTTCTGTTTTTGCTAATATCTCCCAAAATAATTTGCACAAGAGATGCTAATTTTGTGGTGTACACGGGTTGTAAATGCAACATCGTAAAATATAAACTAATACCCCATTTATGCCGATTAGTAGTCAATAACCTCAGCCCAGTGATCTTTAAAGGAAATTAGTAATGTAGAATATTGAAAAGGTAACCAAACTCTAGTAGATAGGTCAATACAGAGTGCAAATCTGGGAAGAATAGTTGGTTAGTTAAGTGGTCTTAAAGCCTATTGATACCACCATTCAGGATTATAACCCTTAATCCTAAATATGAGGATACTGAGATTGAAATAAACTCTTGATAAAAAATTAGACACATGTGCAACATCTGTACATTGTAAACTTTTGAGTGCATATACTGGGTATACTACTAAGATATATTTTTTTTTTTACCCCAACAAGACGGCCGTCTCCCACCGAGGCAGGGTGACCCAAAAAAAAAAGAAAATCCCCAAAAAGAAAATACTTTCATCATCATTCAACCACTTTCACCACACCTCTCACTATATCATGTGTTTGCAGAGGTGATAGAAATACAACGTTCTAGAAGCCTATACATCATATAAGATACACCAGCCCGGTGGCCTGGTGGCTAAAGCTCCCGCTTCACACACAGAGGGCCCGGGTTCGATTCCCGGCGGGTGGAAATTCCAACTCGTTTCCTTACACCTATTGTCCTGTTCACCTAGCAGCAAATAGGTACCTGGGTGTTAGTCGACTGGTGTGGGTCGCATCCCTGGGGGACAAAAATGGATTAAGGGACCCAATGGAATAAGATTAGACAGTCCACAGATGACGCCACTGACTTTCTTGGGTTATCCTGGGTGGCTACCCTCAGGGGTTTTAAAAAATACGAACAAACGAAATCTTATCTATCTTTTCTTATCCCTCCAAAATGCCAACCACTAAGATATTTATCCTTATCTATTTCAAACATCAGGACTACAGTATATGTTCATCAGAATGCCACATAAGTGTTGAGGAATCAACATTTACTGCATTAGCCTTGGAATATATATATATATATAATATTTATATATTATATTATATATATATTATATCATATCTGTATTATATATATATATATATATATTTTTTTTTTTTTTTTTTTTTTTCCAAGTCGGCCGTCTCCACCGAGGCAGGGTGACCCAAAAAAAAAGAAAGAAATCCCCAAAAAGAAATACTTTCATCATCATTCAACACTTTCAAAAACACTCGCACATTTTCACTGTTTTTGCAGAGGTGCTCAGAATAACAACAAGTCTAGAAAGGCTACACAGATATAGATACACAACATTTCCCTCCAAACTGCCAATATCCAAACCCCTCCTTTTAAAAGTGCAGGCATTGTACTTCCCATTTCAGGACTCAAGTCGACTATATGAATAACCGGTTTTCCCTGAATCCCTTCCCTAATTATTACCCTGCTCAACTCCAACAGATCGTTCAGGTCCCAAAGTACATTTTTGTCTCCATTCACTCCTATCTAACACGCTCACGCACGCTTGCTGGAAGTCCAAGCCCCTTGCCCCATAAAACCTCCTTTACACCTTCTCCAACCCTTTCGAGGACGACCCCTTACCCCGCTTCCCTTCCCTATAGATTAATATGCTTTCCATGTCATTCTACTTTAGATCCCATTCTCTCTATATGGACCAAACAACCTCAACAACCCTCTTCTGCCCTCTGACTAATACTTTCTATTATACTCCACACCTTATCCTAATTTCCTCACACTCCGGAATTTTCTGCCATAATATTTACACCCACATTGCCCTTATAACTGGGACATCTCCACTGCTCCAACCATCTCATCGCCTGCTTGCATTTACCACCCAGCTTCACACCCATATAAGACGTGTTGCGGAACTATATATTTCATCATCCCTTTCTTTGCCTCCATAGATGAAAGTTTTTGACTCCAATATACCTAATCGCACCCGCTCACCTTTTTTCCCTCATCAATTCTTGATTAACCTCATCCTTCATTAAATTCCATCCGCCGACACGTCAACTCCCAAGTATCTGAATATCATTCATTCTTCATATCCTCCTCCCATTTTGATATCCAATTTTTCTTATTCTATAATCTTTGACACCCTCATCACCTTACTCTTTTCTATGTTCACTTTCAACTTTTGCCTTTAACACATTCCCAAACTCATCCACTAAAACCTTTGCAATTTTCTTTAGAATCTCCCATAAGCACAGTATCATCAGCAAAAAATTAACTGTGTCAATTCCCATTTGAATTTGATTCCCCAAAAATTAATCCCACCCCTCTCCCGAACACCCTAGCATTTACTTCTTACAACCCCATCTATTAATATATTAACAACCATGGTGACATTACACATCCCGTCTAAGAACCTACTTTTACCGGGACATTGTCTCCTATCTTTACAACACCTAACCTGAGCCTCACTATCCTCATAAAAACTCTTTTACAGCATTTAATAACTTACCACTATTTCCTTATACTTGCAACATCGGCCACATTGCTCCTCTATTCCACTCTATCATAGGGCCTTTTCTAAATCCATAGATGCAATAAAAATTCCTATTTTATCTAATTACTGTTCACAAATATGCTTCAATGTAAAATACCTGATATACACATCCCCTACCCACTCTCGAAAAACCTACTTGCTCATCCACATTCCTACATTCTGTCTTACCTCTAATTCTTTCAATTATAACCCTACCGTACCACTTTTCTGGTATACTAAGTAAGCTTATTCTCCAATAATTTCTTACAGATCTCTTTTGTCCCCTTTCCCTTTATTATAGGGACTATACATGCTCTCTGCCAATCCTAGGTACCTTTCCCTCTTTCATACATTTATTAAACAAAAGTACCAACAACTCCCAACAATGTATCCCCCCTGCTTTTTACATTTCTGTCATGTATCCATCAGTTCCAAGCTGCTTTACCCCCCTTTCATTTTATGTAATGCCTCACGTAACCTCCCCCACACTTCATTCTGCTCTTCTTCACTCCTAAAAGATGGTATACCTCCCTACAGTGCATGAATTACTGCTCGTGTCTTCCTAACATTAAAAGTTCTCAAAAATATTCTCGTTCATCTACCAATTATTATATATTATATAATATATATATATATATATATATACTTGTATATATTTTTATATATATCAATATATATATATATATATATATATATATATATATATATATCACATATATATAAATTTATACTTCTATTTATATACATATATATGAAATAAGATCACAGTAAACTGGTGATTTCAAAATATGCATAAACAACCACTCTGAAAGAATAGAGAAATTCCACAAGCGCTTTCGTGTCTACTCCATTATCAAGGAATATGTAAAGTAAAGCATCCAAGGAAGCTATAGAAGGGGTCCGGCCAGCCCTCTGGGTCTGATAGTGAGTGCTGGCCGGGACCCTCATTTATTGCTTCTGGATGCTTTACTTTAATAAGTTCTTGATAATGTGAGTAGTCACGAAAGCGCTTGGAATTCTCTATTCTTTCAGAGTGGTTGTTTTGCATACATATATTTATATATATATACTCTTATATATATATATATTGTTTATTATATATTTATTTTATATATATTATATATATATTTATATATATATATTATATATATAATTATATTATATATACTTTTATATATTTATATATTTATTATATATTATTATATATATATATATTTTATATATATATATAATCTATTTATATTATATTTATATATATATAAATATATATATTATTTATATATATATTATATATTATATATATTATATTATATATATATATATATATATATTTATATATTATATATATATATATATATATATATATATATATACTATATATATATATATATATATATAAATGTGAGGCTCAACGTTAGAGTTATGTAGAAAGAGGGAATTTTTTCCAGTAAAAGTAGCCTTAGACAAGGATGTGTGATGTCCACGTGGTTGTTTAATATATTTATAGATGGGGTTGTAAGGAGAAGTAAATGCGAGGGTATGGCAAGAGGCGTGGAGTTTAAAAGATAAAAGATTCACACACAATTAGTGGTGTTGTCACAGCAGCTCTTTCGCTGATGACACTCTGCTCTTGGGGAGATTCTGAGAGAAGTTGCATGAGATTGGTGGATGGAATTTGGTAATAGGGTGTGACAAAAGAAGAAAATTAAAGGTGAATCAGGAAAGAGTAAAGGGTTATGAGGATAACAAAAAGATTAGGGGATGAAGATTGAATATCAGTATTGGATATGGAGGGGAGTATGGAGGAGGTGAACGTATTCAGTATTTGGGAGTGAAAGTGTCAGCGGATGGGTCTATGAGAGATGAGGTGAATCATAGAATTGATGAATGGGAAAAAAGAG